AGGAATGTTCAGTGGTTTCCAAATCTCTTTACCCCAGGAGTTGGACAGGCAGACCCAGCACTATAGAAGCCCCTCTGGCCACCCAGAACTTCTTGGTGGGTGGACGCTTGTATTTTGCAGATAGGGAGTCCCTGTGAAGTGTCTCAGGCCCCAGGTTACGGAGACTTGGGTATTCAGCCAGAGAAAACACAACCATCGGCTCGTGCAGACACTGCACAGACATGATGAGTTCCCTGGATCCCGTGGCTCAGCAACCCAGGTCACCCAGGTCACCGGAAAAGTGGCCCTGTTCTCCCCCGCTCCTGGCCCCTGGGCCTTCTTCGCCTTCCTCAGAGGGAGAGAAGGTGATGCTGTCTCTGTTAAAGGCGGACATGACTGTCTTCCAGTGGGATATTCAAGAAGGACACGAACAGTCTATAAAACCTGAATCTTATGGTGCAATCCTTTTTTTAAAAAAAGTTTTTTTTTTTTTTTTCCATAGGGCCTATGTGCTCACAGGAGAGAGGCAGAGACAGAAAGAGAATGTGAGAAGTCATTCTCCAGGGGGGATGGCCATGCCTCGGTTTCTTCTCTTCCATTCTCTTGGGATTTTGGGCACGTACACGCGTACACTCACCTGGTTGGATTTTCAAGCTGCCAGGTCCAGGGCTAGAACCTCAGTCGACCCTGTGGGAGTCCAGCACCTTAACCACCATGCTACCTGCTGGCCCTCCTGTTTTGTTCGTTTGGATGGGCCGAGACCAAGATCATACAGTATTAATAGATTTTCCAGAAAGGCAAAAACTGGCAATTTACCTAAGCATTCTGACTTTTTTAGGGTGTTGATGGTGAAAATCAAATCTATTTGAATAATCTTGGGAGCTAAAACAGGCCTAGTGTTTTTCCTTTCCCTTGTAATTATGAATCACTTGATCCCAAGATTTAAAAACAAAAAAAGGAGCCAAAAGACTCATAAGCATTATCCAGTGTGACCCTTACCAGATAGTCACTGTGGGTTTAAGCCGGCATTTGCCTGTGAACAGTGGCGTATGCTGTCACTATGGGATTTTTCACTGTAAGAGATGCTTCATAAACGTGGCCTGAGCCACTCCATCAGTAACTGCTCTCGGGAGCTGAAGGAAAGACAGCCATACCAGAATGGGAAGGCGGCCCAGCTGTGGTGGTGTGGGTAATAGGGTAGGCTGTGTAATCGTGGAGCCATATGGGAAGGCCCAGGATTGGGATCGAGATCCTGGGTCAACCTGAACATGTAGGGCACTTCCACGATTCTGGCTGGCTAGAAGGCTGAGAGAGGATTACGGCATGGCTGGACCTTGTCAGTGGTCCGCCTTTCTCTTGCTTATGAAAGAATTGGAAAACAACAACAACAACAACAAAAAACAGAGGAGTGTCAGCAAGTGCTGGAGCAAGAACATTCTGGAACCCTGCTTCTGAGGGTGTAGCAGGGCTCAAATCTCCTCCCAAAAGGGTATCACCAAAGTGGGGTGTTAAGGTCAGGGGAGATGGCCCCCTGGGAGCTGCAAGGAGCTGAGAGAATGTCAGCTGTGTCTGGGTAATAGCGCCCCCTGGAGAAGTGAGTCGGGTACTGTTATGGGGCCATGAGATGAGGAGGCAGGTGGGAAAGGAGCTGGTGAACTCCCCAGCTCACGTGAGTTCTCTCTGTGTCTGCAGCGCCCCCACACGCTGGCTCTAATACATGTTTGTGAAATGAATGCACCAAGAGGATAAGGAAAGGAGCGGGCGGAGGAAAGGGCAAAGAAATCCACACATTTTCTAGGAGGCAGCTGAGACAGCCAGGTCTTTCTACTATTGGGCGAAAAGGGGAATAATTCTGGTTTAAAGACCTAAGGCTAGGGACCAGCAGATGGCCTAATAGTTACACTGCTGGACTCCCATGTAGATGGCCATGCTTCGAGTTCCGGAACCGAAGACTTAAAACTCATGCCGGGTGCACGTGTGTGCGTGCCCAAAATCCTAAGAGGAGACTGGAGGAGAAGGGATTGCGTTGTGGCCATCCCCTCTGGAGGGTGATTTCTCACTTTCTGTCTCTCTGTCTCTCTGGTGAGCACACAGGCCCCTATAGCAAAAATCTCTCTCTTAAAAAAAGAAAAAAGACATAAGGCTCTAGAGTCAGTCCTATGGAGTGACAAGTCTCAAGAGGTCCTTTCTGCCTTACTTCCACTGTTTGGAAAACTCTCCACTTAGAGATGCTAGAGCTGAGCAGTCAATCATTCGACTTAATCTGGCCTAGTGATATCATCCACGAGTGTCTCAACTTGACTGAATTCCCACAGTGAGCTTCCGGAAAAGCCAGGGGTCTGCAGGAGTAACTGAGATCCAGAGGCAGGAAAGTGTCCCCTGAGCTGCACTCTAAAACCATAAGCGAAGTGCGAGCTCGGCTGGCCGGATGACAGGCATAATTGGAAGTGTGAGCTGTTTTGCACATGCAGCAGGCACGCGCCGATTCTAGACACCATACTGAGCCCAGACCCAGACAAAGCTCCCGTTCTAAGGCTTATGATCTAAATTCCTTGTGGCAAGTCTGTCTTGGAAATATTTAAGGCACCTCATTTAATCCTCATTTCCACTTCCAGTCATGTACCTCCTTCCTGTGAAACCCACCACATTTGAAGTTCGGCGTTGGCCTTCCTTCTGTTTTTGCTATTTACGTGCCAATTTAAAGGGCGGGGAAAGCAACATTAATGGTAAAATAAAACGCAAATAGCAAAAGGAGGCTTGGTTAAAGTAAAAACCACAGAAGGCATTTTTTTTTTCAATTCTCCCATACTTTTCAGATTTTCCTAGAACCACCTTTATTTCCTCAGAGCCCAGACATAGTGAGTGGGCCTCTCCGAAGGCTCTTCCAAGTCAAAGCTAAAAGCCGGGATTCTCTCTCTCTCAGCAGCTTTAGGTTTTGTTTTTCTGCGTCAGACATGTGAGGCCCAAGTTGGGGTCAAGCCCCCAATTCGATGTGGTATTCTAAGCACCCTCGAAGTAGATTTTAGTTTGTTTCTGTGGTCTGCATCTTACCTCTCCAGCTTAGTGATGGCACCCCACGATCTGGGTGATGGGAACAAGGCTTTCAAGTCCGATACTCCTGGGTGGCATCACAGCCTTGCCATGCTTACCAGCCTCGGGGCCTCATGCACCATATGGGAACAATGATCCATAGCTCTCAAGGCTGTAGAGAGGATTCATGAGTTAAGACATGCAAAGGTCTTAGGGAACAAGAAGCTCTTGGTTCCTGGAAGTTACGGAGATAGAATTCTTCCCTGTATGTGTTCATTCCTTAACTAATGCCCTCTCCTCTTACTTTGAAGAAGGAAAGGAAAGGAATCATCGACTCCATGTGAATGATTTTCCTCCATTTAAAATCACAGGCCAGTCTGACTTGCAAACACCTAAGCGTTTAAATGGGGTGAGGTCAGTGTTCTCGCCTCAGCGGGCGGTGACCAAATCCGCAGTGTGGGAGAAGGGGAAGCCTTGAAGGCCGACGGCGGAGTGAAAGGAGCACAGTAGACAGTGAGGAATAGGTGAGCTGAGGGGCCAGAGAGGTGCCAGCCACCAGGAAGGAATGCCTCCGGCTCCTGGCTTCTGAGTCCAGGCATCTGCAGGCCTGGTCCGCCCGCCGCGGGATCTGGTGACCGTGAGACCCAAGGCGCATGCGCGCCGGCCCGGGGGGGGCGGCCGCCCCCCCCCGCCGCTTTGCAGGTGGGACTCTGGATCCCTCCCGCTTCCTCCGCCTCCGCTCCATCCCTTCCGCCGACCGCGCGTCCCTGCCTGGATTCCTGAAGGCGCGTCCCTACCCTACGCCTGCAGGCTGAGC